CTTTCCCTAGTACTTTCAGACAACATGTTTTCCACCCAGCTTCTCCATCGCACCCCCAGCTTTCTGCTGGCAAAGCCTCTCTGCCCATCTTCAGGCAGCGTGCTTCTCTTGAGACTCTTGTTTAATTAGAGGAGCACTATTAATAAGCTCCCTCATCCCTGCCCGCAAGTCCACTCAAGTCCACTTTTAAGAACTGCTATAGACTTACTGTGCTACTTAGACTAAAAGACATCACCCTGAAACTTTTCTCCATAAAATTCAGAGGTTGCTCCTTTCCCGCAGCAGCGGCCAGGAGTTACTGCCAAACAAAAAGCAACTTCACTTCCAGACGTCTCTGCTGGAGGTGAACCAGCGAAGCTCTCGCTGACCCCGTGCAGAGGGTTGCGTTGGCTCTGGGCTCTCTACATCTCTAAAGCAAGAGCTGAGAGCGAGCTGGGATCTACATCTGGACCACCTGGTGTCCCAGGGTGAAAAAGAGACTGAAAACAATTCAGCAAAATACCTATTTTCAGCAAGTGCTTGGGTAGAGGATAACTGCAAGCGTGTGCTCATATCCCCTTAGGTTAAATTTAACATAAAGCCTACGCTTCGCTGTTCTGCGGGACAGGAACGGAGCGCAGGTTTACCTGTGTCCTCCACGGAGCCTTACTTCTCAATCCTGTTCCCGAGCAGGCTGTAACGAGGGCACTGAGGACTGAGGTAGCCTCGAAACAGAACAGTCCTGCTTGAAACAGGCCCCCAAAATATATTAAAATGCACAAAAAACCTAACGAAAACAGAGCGCGGAGCAAGGTCCTGAATACTTCATAAATAGTAGCAAAAAGCATACACATTTATCAGCATCGCTCAAACATGAATGCGCATCCTTGCCAAAAAGACACTGCCAAAGGCAGTAAATACCGCATTCTCCTTTTCTAATTATAAATTCAAGTTTAATGCCAAAACCACAGAATGCCAAATCTGACTGGTCTCTCAAGCAGAAATCTAAATTATACATATTGCTCTGTCTGAACTGAACTCCTCAGACATAATGGAAGGACGAGGGGTCTGGAATAAGGCAGTATCACTGATAGTTGGAAAGGGCTTTGTAAAAACTCTTACAGACAGCTCGTGTGTCCTGGCTGGGGGGGAGGAAGGTTATTCCTCGAGTGTAATGCACGGAGAAACAAAATTACCATGACTCCATCTAACCAGATTACTTTGGAAAAGACAGAAATCTTCTCCAAAAGGTATCGTAAGAACGTCATGCCCTTGGGGAGCGGGGCGTTACATAACAACAGACCTAAAAAACATCCATTTCCATAGATATCACATAAATACACGGAATTACTGAATCCAGCAATTTCTATTTACTTCTTTTTTTGGATGTTTTATGAGAGTTTGAAGTGTCTCTTCCCTCCTGTTGCATAAAGCTTGCAGGGAGGTCCGAGCCCTCTCTGCCTTACGCCTGGCACTCTTACTCTGAACACAAGTACCCTCACACATGTAGGTTTATCTTGTGAGTAATTTTCCATGGAGACGGTCAGAAAAACCCTGTAGAACTTAGTAGCTATAGTACAACATTTCCATTTCATAAGTAGCACATCATTTTTGGAAAAGACAGAGTCAAGAGCACCATTAACAGATGTTTTCCCAATCTTTCACTGCTCTGACTGGCACCCGTGGGCCACCTGGATAACCGGAGACTCCTCTGGGCTGTCTGCATGTTCAAGGCACTTTTGAAACGCAGCATAGAAAGTTTTACGTTTAAAACAAGGAAGAACAACGACGAAACTGCGGACCACAGTAATAAAACTAGCAAAATGCTAACAGCTACCCATTGCTTTCTCCTCATTAATATAAAAAAGTGTAACATCAGAGATCCAGTGTACAAATACAAAAAATTGTGCATAATAAATGTACTATAATACTGTACATACAGCATAAACCGTTCAATGAGAATGATTTAAATATACCTATTTGTCTCCTGACTTGGAAGACAGAAGAATAGTTCTGTAATCCTAGAATATGTGTATAAACCTTTCTGAGAGGTTGAATCACTAGCCAACGGTATCCCTGAAAATAAGCAGAGTCAAATATTTACTTAATGGAAGCCATTATTCAAGGGGTTGCTGGTTATGATAAACTAGGAGAAAAAATACAATATATAAACTCAGCCAACATTAAATCCAGACAGAGTTTTTCCCATCTCCTGACTTGCTACTGGCACTGCTTTTGTTTGAGCCTGCTTTGGATTTCTTCTCTCTGGAACTGCCGGGATTGTTTTGGTTGTTGTAAGCCTGGATCGCAAGGTCCAGG